AACTTAACCCCAATTGCCTCATCAAGAAGCAAAGCAAAAAAACAAAACAAAACAAAAAAATGCCCCCAAAGACCACAATCTAAGAGTTGTCAGGGACTTCAGAGGCCATGTAGCCTCTAACACTGTACCCAAATCAGATTCCCTTCTCCAACAGTTTCAACAAACAATTATCCAACTATTTGCTTGAAGACCTCCACTGTTCCATCAATGGCAGTCCATTTCACTTTTGTATAGTTCTTATTGTTCAGAAATTCTTCCTAGCATCCAGCCTAAAACTGCCTCTTTGTATGCTCTACCTTTTATATCTAGAGTGCTCTTCAGGCTCGAGTAAAAAGAACAAAGACAATCCTTCCTTCACAAGAGAGCACTTCAAATACTTGAAGACTGCTACCATGTCCCCTTTTCTTCTTTATCTTCTCTCGTCTGAGAGGAATACAACTAGTTTATTCAAGCTATCCTCATGGTCTATTGCTTAGTCCTTGTAACATGCTTACATACTCATCCAAAAAGTCTTTATGGGAATGATTTGTGTATTAATCAAAGTTATCTCTGAGGAAAGCCTGAGAGAGTCAGGGGCTGGATATTATAGATGGCTATCTATAGCAGACTATGGTCTGTTATTACTAATTTTTACAATAGTTAACAATCATATAGTTATAATTTATGTAGCACTTTATAAATATTATCTCAATTTAACTTCAGAACAATCCTGGTAGGTAGGTGCTACTGAGGCAGACAGAGGTTGGCATAACAGCACTACCACCCCAGTCCAAATCCTTGAACTCCCAGATGTAACTGAAAGAGCTGACTTTCTGACTCTCTGTGGCTAAGGTGGGATATGTGGGTAAGGGAATATTTTGGCCAACTGTGTGATGGCAAAAAAGAAAAGAAATGAAAAAACAGGTTCCCCCAAAAACAATTTTTAAATGTGGAGTACATACTAGAATAAAATAGTAGATCCAATTTCACCCTAATGATACTATGACTTCTACCCATAGATAATAGGTGTTATTTCTTCCCCAAAATATTTTATTTCCAAAAATGTATGGACATAATTTAAGTAGGTACACCAAGTGAATTCAACCAAGTAAGTTAACTAAAGGTGAACTATATAAAGGAACCCCCTTTTTACCTACTTAAGAAAGGTTACCTGGTGTATTTTCACTTTGCTTTGGGGCTAGAGGGAATATTTCACACAGTGAAAAAGTAGATTTGTCTCCTGGTCCATTAAATCAACTGGTTTTTGCCATTCACAGAATGAAATGATTGCATACCACAAATTGAACAGGATCTAGCCCTTTTTACATGGACTTTGAATAGTCATCATTTGGTAACTAACACACACATACACACACACACACACACACACACACACACACACACAGAGCAATTAATATGACCCTTTGACCTATAAGGGGAAAGGGTCAATAGACCATTACCAGTTCCCTTGAGAGTGTGATCTATGGTGACTTTCTCCTTCCGACTGCCACCCTAGTACAACTGCATCAAAGCTACTTGGTAAAGAGACAGACTAATCACTTGCACATAGTAAATTCTGCTGCAGGCATTTGTTTGACAAATTATCCAATTTTACTAAGCAAGGTACCTTGGAAGAAGAAAATTCTGTATAACAGGATTTAAAGGAACCATGTGACCATGTATTCATGGTAGTAGCAGGCTAAAATATCTTTATTTCTATGACTGGAGTATTCTATTGACCCCAGTCTTGTTGAGGATTTCTGATAATTTCTTGTCATTATTTATTCAGAGCAGATGCCACAGAAGTGCAGTAATAATAATAACTGAGATTTATATTATGGTGATTCAAGGCTTGCACTCTATTTCAAATATATCATCTCATTTAGTTCTCACAAAAATCCTGTGAGGGAGGTACCATGGTTATTATTATCCCCATTTTACAAATAAGGAAATTGAGGCATAGAGAAGAATAAATGATTTGTTACAGGTCATACACTTGGTAAGTGTCTTTTGTAGGATTTGAATACAAGTCTTCCTGACCTCCAATCTGTCTTGCCATGCTTCCTCCCTTGACTTGAATTTTTGTATTTAATTATTTGTTGCTATTTCGGGGAGGAGAGGGATATATTTCTATAACTGTCATGTGACGAACTCAGAGAAATATTGACCTGGGGCTGGAGTCAATAGCAGTCTGTTATGGTAATTTTCACTTTGCTAGATTCATGAAATACTTCCATTGAGTATGCAACTAACTATGATTTGGGTCCAATTATGGTGCAAGAACCATTTTATCTAGTGAAAATAGAGTGCCCTAGCAATGCTGATTCTTAGGTAGACACTGTTAACTCTCAGGCAAGTTTGGTCTCTTCAAGTAGGCAGACCCAAAGTAGATTCAAACCTGGCTTTTATGCTTTATTTTACTCCGAGTTTACTGCAAATAAATATTTGGGATGCCATTTGCCATTTCTTAGTGTTGTTGGTAGGTTATTCTGAATATAGGAGAGGACAGAGTAGGGGAGAGTTAAGAAAGGGGAGGACAGAGGACTAGAAAAGAGGAAAGAAGTCCTGCCTTGTCTCAGCATGGAAGGGGAGCTCAGCAGATTCAGTAAATATGATAGAAACTTCTCTGATTCCACCTTTTTGGCCCTTACTGTGTTTTATTTATTTATTTAATTTATTTTTTGTGACTGGGCCTCCCTATCTTACGTAGACTGGAAATGCAGTGGCCACTCATGGGCCTGACTCCATTGTGGATTGTATAGAAGCTTTGACCTGCTCCATTTCTTATCTGGGCTGGTTCATCCCTCCATAGGCAGCTTGTTGGCCCTGCACTCCTGGAGGCTCCCTATATTGCTGTCAGACTTAGTACAGACACCTGACTGGTTTTTGCCCTACAGCTGCCTGAATTCCTGAACTCAAGCAATCCACCAGTCCTAGCTTCCCCTAGTAGCAAGGACTATAGATATGCACCATCATGCACAGCGCTTGCTATAATTTGCCAAATTTTCGGTTTTCTTCAGCTTAAAATAGAGGCAGAAGTTGGGAGGTCATGGCCAGGAAGAAGTTAAAGATAAATCATCGTGGCTGATTAATATCTAGAAAATCTAGCATGCTACTACTTCATTCTCCACTCCCCTTTCATCGCTCTCCTCCCACTACATCTGGGGTCATTTTTAGTTGTCTTGCCCTAAGTCTTGCCACTGGACTCCCATGATTGGAGGAGAGAGTGAGGCTGATGGCTTTGCACAGCTCTGCCTCACTTAAATCCAATTCGCTTGCAAGTCAAGACATCATCCTCCTGATGTCATTGGTCCTCTTCAAGGATGAAGGATGAACAACAATTCATTAATCTCTATATTTTAAGATCTTAGTCATGTCCTTTGGACTCTGAGTAAAGACCTTGAGTTCCTTGATTTCTGAATTAGCTGGAGAAACTGCAGAGGGATATAATTCCAAGAAAAGGTCACTGTTACCTTTAAAAGGAGCATTACCACAACTCATTCAAGCAAACTTTCCTTTTCCTGCTAAGGACACGGCAATTTTTCCAGTCCTTCAGGTTCAACAACCTAGAAGTCACCCTTGAATTTCCACTCTCACTCAACCACCATATCTACCCAGTTACCAAGTTTTCTGTCTATCCCACCTTTTTGGACATTTCTCACAACTGTTACACTGTATTCATCCTAGTCCCGGCCCTCATTACTTCTCTTCTGGACCTTTGCAATATACTTCCAATTGTTTTCTCTCTACCCATTCTTCCCCTTTTCCAATCTATCCTACAACTGCCAAAGTGATACTCACAAATACAGGTTTGACTATGTGAGTTCCCTCTTCAAAAGGCTTCAATGACTCCCCATTGTATTTAGGATCAATACAAGTTCCTTTGGCGTTTAAAACTGTTCACAATTGGACTCCAGCGTAATTATTTAGGTTGATTACATATTATATATTTATTATATAATATTGTATTATATTATATATTATATATGTATTATATTATATATTATATATGTATTATATTGTATATTATACACACATATATATCTTATATATTCTAAACTCTAGGCAAATTGACTGTTTACTTTATATGAGATTCCATTTCCTATCTCTGTACCTTTGTACAATCTAGCTTATGTTGGAAATATTCTCAAAACCTTTAGCTCCCTTTAAGGCTCAATTCAAATTTCACTTCTGTCAAGGGGTCTTTCCTGATTCCTGCCCCCAGTTGTGAGCGCCCTCACCCTCCAAAAAAACCCTCAACACTGTATTTATTTTGTGCATATCCTGTATTCCTCTGTGAATATATTGTAGCCATCTAGTAGAATACAAGCTTCTCAAGGGCAAGTAGTCTCTCATTTTTGCCCTTATATCCCCGGCATTTATTATGGTGTTTGGCACAAAATGATACACAATATGTGCTTGTTGACGATTGATCATTGATTTAATGTGAAAAAGATCATCAGATCTGGAGTTGAATGATATATTTAAATGGAGATGAGTGTGGATGATCACCACAAAGAGGAAGCTGAGCAAATTCCCATGAACCCAGGACACTAGGCAGTTTCCAAGGGTCATTGGGGCACGGCATCTCAATCCTTTGTTCCCATGTCCCCAAAAGATAAACAGTCTAAGTTAATCCACAGGCCACCTCAATCACCTTCTAGATAACATCTTGCTTGAGCTTCCTCTATCAGAAATTTGGGGGAGTGATAGATAGATAACATTGCCACTATTCCATTTTCAATTATTTCACTGGGAATTATGAGTGGGAACACAGAAGGAACTATTTTGGGTGTGTGCGTTGAGGGGAGAGAGAGGTGAAAGGGATGTAGATTATTTTAAAAATTTGGAAGAAATAAGGGTAAAATCACCTTCTTCTCTCACACATACACAGTACAATGCATTTGAAACAAGGACTCTTGCTTATCCTATTTGTTTCAGCAGGAGTGCAGCAGATAAAGCTCCAATGTTAAAAGCTAACACAGTTACCTTTATTATTATCCCTGTAAAATAAAGCTTACCAAGTCCAGAAAGGATAGATCGTCAGGGGGTCTCAGACCACAAAGGTTTCCCTTTCTTAGGATCCAGGAGTCCAGGCTCATCCTGAGACAAATCAGATGGCACATGATAAAGCTTCTCTAGACGTTAGAAAAAGACAGTTAAACTCTATATCCCCATAACCCTCCATGGGTAATCAAAAGGAAAGGACATATAATTACAATGACATTTCTATATGAATTATTACCTATTTTCAGGTTGCAAGTCACCTCCAAATCCCACCCACTTCCCTAACATATCTGTTGCACAATACATTTGTGACCAAAGTCCCTAGCTATGAAATGTTTTAACCAGACTGCAGGTAAAGTCCCTAAATTAAATGCTAAAACTCCAATAACATCCAAGTTGGCAAAAGAGAGAAAAATCATGAAGTTGGTTTAGATAATCTTCCTTGTCTGCAGAGAAGAGAAGCCCAACCTTTGAATCCTTATATGTGGGTTATCTGGGAGGGTAGTTTCTAGTAGTCATTCTTTTGAAAATGATAAATTTATCTGATTACAACTGGAAAACAAAAGAAAGGAACCAAAGGCAGCTGCCTGGAAATAATAATAATAGCTAAGCAGTATGTGCTTACTATGTGCCAGGCACTATGCTAATAATTATTATTATATTATATTATATTACGTTACGTTACGTTACGTTACGTTACGTTACGTTACGTTATATTATATTATATTATGTTATATTATATTATATTATATTATATTATATTATATTATATTATATTATATTATATTATATTATATTATATTATATATATTATATTATATTATATTATATTATATTATATTATATTATATTATATTATATTATATCATATTATATCATATTATATTATTATAATTATTATCTCATCTGATTCTCACAACAACCTTGGGAAGTAGGTGCCATTATTATCCCCATTTACAGATAAGGAAACTGAGGCAAACAGGTTAAGTGACATGCCCAGGGTTATATAGGTAGGAAGTGCCTGAGACTATATTTGAACCCAGGTCTTTCCGACTCCAGGACAGTGCTGTATCTACTATGCTACCAGCTGCTAAGTACTCTTCTAAGTAACTGATGATATTAAGACAAAAAGTGAAATAATCCCTGAGCTCACGGCCAGCTTGCATCCATCCCCTTCCATATCCAATTTAGGAACCAATATACTAGAACTGTATATTCCATCAAGTTATATTACCTCAGCACTTTTTTTTAAACTCAACCCATGAGTTCAGTGGTCTATAGGACTCCTGACAGATACACTGGTATTGTAAAAAGAACAGTGGATTTGGAGTCAGGGGACCCAGGTTCAAATTCTACTTAGCTGACTCCTCCTTCTCTTCCTTCAGGCTCCTTCTGTCATTGGTGAATTTCTCCTAGAACCTCCATTTTGGAGAAGGGCTCAGAGCTGCCATGTTGGATTTTACCACCATGTCCCCGAGTCAATACCCTTCCCCCCTCTTCATCTCCTTTTTATATTATTAGATTTCCTAATTAAAATGTATGCTCCTTGAGGGCAGGGACTGTATTTCTTTTTTTGCATGCATTATATCCCTAGCAGTTAACATGGTATCTGGCACATAAGAGATGCTTTTTAAGCATAGTAAGTGCTCATTGTTGACTGACTACCCTCAGCCACTTAGTGCCTATGGTACCTTAGCCAAATAAATCACTTAGCCTTGCTCAGCCTAATTTTCCTCATCTACAAAATAAGGGTATTATACAAGATTGTCTCTAATGTCTATTCCAGCTCTAAATCTAAGATCTTATGGAACCCTCTCTTTCAGTGAAGATCAGCATCTGCTTATAGTCTTAGGTATGGAGGCAGGTGGATGTAACCAAGAGGTTAAATGACTTGTCCAGGGTCACATACTGAGTATAAGTCAGAGATGGGACTTGAGCACAGGTCTTCCTGACTTTCCAGCTGGTTCTCTATTTACTAAGTCAATGCTAAATTTCACTAAATCCAATCTTTTAAAATCCAGAAGTATTTTGCTGCCTCATCATTTTTCACTGTAGCTCAGAGGTGGTATAGAAATGCCTACATTCTTCAATTTGGTACGAGAATCAAAGAAGCTATTTCTAAGGAAGGTACAAAAAAGGAAAACAATAATGAAGAAAGAAGCAGTAAAATGAATCTGACCAGTTCAGTTCTGCTGACAAAACGAGCCTTCTCTTCAGGTCACTGTTCTTACATAGTTGTCCCAGGTTGCTGGATCCCAGTCTCCTGTGAGAAGTGATCTCAAACTTGTACACATCTTTAGGAAATTAATGGTAGTTGAAGTGGGGATGGCAGGTAGTATTGGAAAGACTTCTTTTACTCTTGCACACGAAGGCAGCATTCCAAAGTACTAATCCATATGGGAGAAATCTCTGAGAAGCAGTTCCATGAGGCCTTTTCCATCTGACCAGTCCCATGAAAGCATGACCTAGTTTGAAGAATTTTAGAGCTGGAAGAGATTGTAGAAACCATCTAGTGCTTAGATCCAAAGACTTAAACAAATTACCAGGGCCACGCCAGTGAGTGGCAGAGCTGGTACTGAAATCAGAGCCTCCTCCAAATCCAGTGCCCTTTAGAATACAAAACATAGGTCCACAGAACTCCAGGCTGCATAAAAAAATCAAATATCTTGATTCCTGACTCTTGCCGCAGCTCAAACACTTTTGCGGAAAGGCATCAAAGTATTTTATACCAAAATTAGAATTAGGTCTTTTGGGGATTTACTTGGTAAGAGTAAAACAAGTCAAAATTGCCTCAAGTCTCTGGGAAAAACACAAGAACATAAGTCTAGAAGTAGAAAGGACCTCAAAGGCCATCTGGCTCAACCTCTTCATTTTACAAATGAGGTAACATGAACCAGGGAAATAAAATGACCTGACTAGCCATCACAGGTGGGATTTGACTTAGTTCTTCAGATTCCAGAGCCTATGTATGCTCCACTGTACTTCTTAGACACTTTACAGCAGGATCAGGATCACCCCAACTTGAGGAAAGACTGACTTTTAGGGAGATCAAAAAGTAGCGATGTAAGACTGTCCTTGAAATAACAGCCCAGCTTCAAAATGCAAAGTCCCTAGAAATACACACCTCTTCAGCCAAGCCACCTTGACCACTTTGATTTCTGAGTCTCCAATCTTGAATCCCAAATCCTAACATTTTTCAAGAAGTAACATTGAAGAGGAAGAGTTAGAAAAGAAGAAAGAGTTCTTCCAGAAAGAAAGGAATTGGCTAGGCAAGTTAAATATTAGGGAATAAAGGCATTGGTACCTATTGACCTTGATGTCATCTTGTTCTAATTTCTGCCATGCCACTAGCCCTGTGGGTATCCAGTGATCCCCCAAAAGAAAAAACGAACGCACATTTATTAAAGTCAGCATTCACACCCAGTTCTGTTACCAGAGCTCCTCGTCAATGTTCATTGTTATTATTTCAAGCTGGTCATTTATTTTAATACTAATACTTCCTACTCTCCAAGTGAAAAAGGTCACCTGCCTAACTCTGGTTGCACAGAAAACATAACAAAAGCCTGATGAGCTTTGGTGAATTATCTGTCACACAGAGTCCTGAAGTCCTTGACAGAGCTGGGATTAAGCCCTAGTGTCTCTTTCAAATACAGTATTTATAATTTTTTAAGGATTTTAAAGGCTTTTTTTTTTGCTTCTCTGTACAATGTTCATTAGTTCTAATCATATTATGGTCCCAATGTAGCTATTTTAAAGTGAAATTAAAAGGAAGCCCAGCTATGGAGGGTAAGAATTATTGAAAGAGGTGTCTGGAGAGCTATTTAAAATTTTCAAGCAAAAAAAAAGAGCTGTTCTTTTCCTTTTAAAAATTAAGAAATCAAATACAGGAATGGTCTAATTTACATTAATGACCTCCAATCTATGAAACAATTTTTAACCATTTTAAAGTGAAAGGCTGGTGATTATATCTATGAATAGGTGGTGATAATAATAATAAATCTTTGAGAATCATCAGTGTGCTAGGTAGTAGTATATAAAACACAGAGTTGGCTATTGTCTTCATCTGAGGGTTGTCATAAGGCAATGGGCCCAAGATATCCTTACAGGCCCTTACAACACCCAGTTTGACCTCCTTATTTGCCCTGAAGGAGTCAGTCAGCATTGAGAAGTAGAATCTTCCTCCTTCTACATACAGCCCCTTCAAAGCCATGGCCACTTGATGAGTACTAATACTGCTTAGTTCTCAGTAGGGACTTTGCTCAGGATTTTACAAGTATTCACTGGGATACAGCCATCAGGAATACAGCAGTGGTAAAATTGCTACTTGGCCTCAGCAATCCTGAGTGTTTTTGGAAGGGAGAGAGAAGAATATAATATGTACCTTTGAGGGGAAAATAATTCTTTTTTTTAACTTTCCCAGAAATTGTACTGCAAAACTGATGTTTCCAACTGTTAGATTGCTCTTTTTCTCCATTTCCAAAGATATTTGTAGCATTGGCTTGGCCACTAACTGTGTGAACTAAGACAACTCACATCATATCTCTGGACCTTGATGATCTCATCTATAAAATTCAATCCAATTCAACATTAACTCCCTCCTGTGTACACTGCCTTGTGTTAAATTTTAGGTAAGAGGGTAGGTTTACCTAAGACATAGTAATAATTGATTAATAATGGGATTTAGAATTGAAAAGGACTTTGGAGATACTGAGTCCAACCTCCTTATTTGATACATGAGGAAAAACAAGACCTGTACAAGTTAAGTGATCTACTCAAAGTCCCACAGATATATTGTGTCTGTGTCTGAGCTGGGATTTGAACTCAAGTCTTCCGGCTACAAGTTTAAAGACTTTTTTCCCCACTAGAGAGTCAATATGGTTTAGTAAAATTATGATTTTCTTAACTAGAGGAAGCAGCTCTAACAAATTTTTGGTTGTGTGGCCATGGGCAAGTCATTTCCCTTCTATGAATCTCAGTTTTCCCATCTGTAAAGTGGGGCTAATAAAGATTATCTCACAGAATTGTTTTTCAAAGGCTGCAACTTGTATAGTCTAAAGCAGAGGTGTCAAACACTAGTCTAGCTGCCCAACACTCC